GTTTTCAGAACTATGGCTCTATAGTAGAGCTTGAAGTCAGGGATGGTGATGCCTCCAGAATATCTTTTATTGAAAAGAGTTGTTTTGGCTATTCTGGGTTTTTTTATTTTTCCATATAAAGTAGAGTATTGTTCTTTCAATGTTTGTGAAAAACTGTGTGGATTTTGATGGGGATTGCGTTGAATCTGTAGATTGCTTTTGGTAGGATTGCCATTTTTACTATGTTAATTCTACCTATTCAAGAGCATGGGAGATCTTTCCATTTTCTGGTATCTTCTTTAATTTCTTTCTTTAAAGTCTCAAAGTTCTTATTGTACAGGTCTTTCACTTTTTTGGTTATTTAATCTTGGGTTTCTTTAGATTCTTTAAGAGATTTGTTTATTTCTTGAATTTTTTGGTTTGTCTTTTCCTCCATTTTGTGTAATTTTTTGCTTGCTTTTTCTTCTATTTCTTTAAGGGATTTTCTTTTTTCCTCTTTGAAGGTCACTATCATCTTGCTGAGATAATTTTTTGAGATCCATCTCTTCTTCATGCACTGTGTTGGGCTTTTCAGATCTTGCTGGAGTGGAGTCCCTAGATTCTGGTGGTGTCATATTGGTCTTTCTGTTGTTGAGCGAGTTCTTATTCTGTCTTCTTTCTATATCCTTTTCCAGTGAGTGCAGGTGGGGTCTCTCTATCTCCTCTTGTTACGCAGTAGTGTGTGGTGGCCAGGAATTCAATGTCCGAAGCTCTGGATGGTCTTGCGTCTCAAAGTAGTCTCCTCACTCTGAAGGAGTTAGGCCTCCATAGGGATCGGGTTGTGGGGGTGGGACAGGAAGTAAGAGTGGGGTGTTTCCAGGCTCTGGGGGTTCCTCACTGCCTGGGCAGGTATACTCCAAGCAGGAGCAGGCCCAGGGAGATCGGGGTGGATGGGGCTTTGGAAGGGAGTTGGGTAAGAGCAGTATCACTCACCTCCTTGCGGATCGGTCAGTGGGAAGGGAAGGAAGAGTGGCCTGTACCCAGATTCAGGGAGCTCCTCCCTGCCTGGGAGTGTCTACTCCAAGCATGCACCAGCCTGGGGAGATCTGGGTGAATGGCGATTTGGACAGGAGTTGGGTAAAAGCAGGGGGTCACTCACCTAGTTGCTGATGGGTGGGCAAAAAGGGAAGGAAGAAGCTACAGAAACACCTTTAACCTAGGTATTTCCCCTTATTCTGATGCCTGCTGTTCTGCCTTGTGGGTTAACTCATCTGGACAACAGCAATAATACCAGCCCCAGAGACTACTTGGTTGGAATGTACTAATAGCTTAACAAATGTGCTTCTTCTTGATTCTTTATATAATGGAAAAAGAAACATTATGAACCATGAACTACCATAAACAAACAAGCAAATAAATAGCTACACATGTCCTTCCACTCCTGGTCAGAGCGGGGATAGCTAGCTCAACAACCATAAACACAGCATTTTTTTTTTTTTGGTCATGGGAAACAAAGCATTAAGAAACTAAGTAGATAGGCTGACAAGACCTAGAGGCATTGTTAGTTTATATTGCTGAATGAGAACAACAGTTAGACTCCCTTCCAGATGTGCTCCTACAAAACCAGAAAGGGTTAGACTTACTTCTCATAACACAGAGGGGACTATGTGTGAGTTTCTGAGAAGCTTGTTGATTTAATGCTGGTTAATCAGAAACATTTAGAAAAAAAGTCATGGTTGGGAAAGACGAGAGACAGAGAGAGAGAGAGAGAGAGAGAGAGAGAGAGAGAGAGAGAGAGAGAGAGAGATCAGATAATTGGTGTCAGTCTCTGTTCTCTTGGTCCCCCTGGCTAACTACTCTGCTGCCAGCACTGTCTGACCCTTTAATTCTCATTCTGATTGGATTCATGAATAGCCCTCCATCTTAGAGCAATACACAGCCATAATTTGACTCATCCTCTTAGACTAGTGGAGAATACTAAAGGCCCCAAGTCAGCACAGCTGATTCCATGATCCAAGTACCATTCAGGATGTAAAACTGAGAATCACAAGACAAAATGAAAACAAATTCTTAATCTATCCAAGTCCAAAGTTCTGGGAAAGTCTCTACCTTGCTTTTTGGCTTCTGAAGTTCTGCTTTGTCTTGTTACTGAAGTATGCCAATGCACAATATGGTGTTTGTGTTTAAAGCTCACCCAGAGAAAGGCTTGGAACTACACTCAGGTCCTGAGCACCCAGTGTAGTCACTGACCAGCTAATGAAGACTTTCTATTGGCTTAAACCATGTCCCAGTAGTATACTGTGGTGAATTCCCTACAACACCAGAAGCCCTTTCCTCGTATCCTTAACTCTAAAGCCAGAACCAAGTGGCTGAAGCTGCCAAGTTCTGCTGATTGAAGGGGCTGGAACTTGGCACCTTGCTCAAATATCTGTTCATGAGATTTCTGATTTTGATCATTTCTTCCACTGCTTAGCTTTTCTTTAATTCCTTTTCCACAAGTTGGAAGCTTAGCTGGGTGTGGTCTTGCTTTGATGTCACCACTCCTTTATTTCATTTAGCATCAGGCTTTTGTTTAAACTTTTTTTGCTCCTTGAGCACTGGAGTTTACTCTACTATAGTTCCTGATGCTCTTTTTTTGTTTAAACAGCATAATGACATGCAAGCCGATGCTACTGTCAATGGCCTTGTCTGTGTGCTTGCTCCTGCCACAGGTGGGGTCTGTGTTGATATCTATTGCTGTGTTACAAAAGGGCCCATGGGAAACCAGTGTTCACCCATGAGTTCAAATATAAGGTTCTTCCTGTACTGGACCCTCCCCGTCATTGGTCAGGGGAGAGCTGCTATACTCACTGGAGAGCTGACCCTGTCCTTTACCAGCTCTGGAATAAAAGACTCCAATGACCCTGGAAGGGGAAGATGGCCTTCCACACTTGGAAATGAGAGCCCCACCCCTGACCATGGACAGAGAACTGGTCCCATCCCTCACCTGAGGGGAGAGGTTCCAGCCACAAGAAATGACCAACTCAGCAGCCACCCAGGTACACAACCAGGAATTTGAACTGGGAAAACCCAACAACTATCCCATCTATGACCTGCTGGAGTGTGTGAAGGCACTGGTCCTGTGTAACTATGGCCTACATGACTTGCAGCAACAGCAGGATTTCTGGGTAGTTTCCCTGGGGATCCAGTGTTGATGGTATGCCAGAGGCTAAAGGCCTTGAACCAGACCAACAGCACATACAACAAACATTTGCAAAGCAAAGCTATTTGGACAAAACAATATAGTTCATGATAAACAGCAGCTCCCAAAAAGTTAGCAAAGATCAACCAACTGTTGCTTTCTGCAGAATATACCTCTCTGTCTCTGAAACACACACACACACACACGCACACACACACACACACGCACACACACACACACACGCACACACACACACACACGCACACACACACACACACGCACACACACACACACACACACACACCAATCAGTTTTGTGGGGACTAACAGTATAGCCTAACTATTTTTTATGCAGACACAGGCTGGAAATGCAGTTTGGCTGATATAGAGATTGCCAAGCAGCACCAGGTCCTGGGTTCTATTTTTGTACTAATAAATGTTTTTGTGGCCAGAAAAATCAGAAGTTCAGGCTTTGCTTAGCTACATAAGCCAGGAAGAGGCAAACCCAGGCTAATGAGACCATGTCTCAAAGAAAAGCAAAAACAAAAAGGACAAAATAAAAAAGATGGAAAAGTTATAGTGACAAAGTACAACTTAATAAATTATATAGCTCATAAACCATCTGGATTCCCTTTCAAATCTAACCTGAAACTGAAAGTACACTGTCCACAGGATAAAAGAGACACAGCACTGACTTCTGCCAGCCTTGCTTTTAGAAGAGGCCAGAGACCCAGCCACCAAAGATCTGCTCAGGTACCTGACAAACTGAACTCTGTCCTCTGAAGGGGAGGGCCTCTAAGTTGAGGGGACTCTGACAAAAATCTGAGGGCTGCAGTGAGTGGATATGGGTAGGTCTATAACTTGAGGGTTAAAGCCAGAAGGTCAGTTCTGGGCAAGAAAGAGATGGGGTCATGTCTAGATAAAAGGAGGACAGACAAGAGGCTATTGATTTTTCTAGAAACTTAAAAAATATAATGCAGGACCACTCAATTTACCTCCCAGGCCTTCAGGAAGCAACTGGCATCCGAGTACATAGGTGCTATGTATATAGACATTTTCATCCCTGTACTTCCTGGGTTTTCAGGACAGAACAGGGATATGCTTCATTAATCCCATTTTCCTCCCAGCTCCGAGCAAATATTAACTTCTCTCCTCTTCTTGGCTTTATTTATCCATTTCTAATTTAAGAGTTTGAAAAGCTATATTCTTGCTGTTTAGCTCAGTCTTAGACAGACCTCAAGGTCCTCCTGCACCAGATCTCCTGTGTGTTGGGAGCATAAACTTATTTTTTTAATTATAGAATCATGGAACATCGAGTGCAGATATAAAGTGGGATAGAAGGAGAATGGGAGTGAGTGAGAAAAAAGGGAAATAGGGATGAAGGAAAAGAGTGAGATGGATGTCTTTATTGATGTCTAAGGTATTAGCTACACTGAATTCCAGGGTGAATTTTAACTGGCAGAAACAAATTGCAGGAGTTTATACTAAGGCTGAAGTGACTTCAGTTCCTATCTTCAGTCTGTTTGGGGTGTGACAGGCATCAGGGCCAGGGAAGGAGGTTGTACTTAGATGTCCCAGATAGAAGTAGACACCAAAGGAAAATATCTAGATCAAATTCATGAGGAACTAAGGAAGAGAGGAGAGAATTGGAAACTTACTCCAGGCTGGCTGGTCCATGCTTCCTGAGTGAGTTCCTCTGCTGACTGACTAAACCTACAGGATCCCTTCCTGCCAGCACCTCCACAAGGAATTCCCAAAACTGTTGTCTTAGAAACAGAATTTTGAAGCTTAAGATTTAAGACATGAAAGGGATGGTTTGAGCTGGGGCTGGAGAAAAAGCTAGAAGGGAGAAACGTGTGCTACTTAAAGCAGATTTACTCTCCGGCTTGGTATAGCTCAGTGGAAAGGTGCTTTCCTGGAATGCACGACATTCTGTGTTCAATCCTCAGTATTGACCAATTAGAATCCATGTTGGGTGGTCCTTCCCCAAAGGCAACCTATTATGCTGGAGAGATGGCTCCTTGGTTGGATGAAGTAGTTCCTCTTGCAGAGGGATCAGAGTTTAGTTCCATCACCCATGTCAGGTGGCTCACAAGTGCCTGTAACTCCAGCTCTGGAGAACCTGACATCTCTGACCTCAGAAGGCACCTTCACTAAGATGCACAATACTCCCTACCCCAGGACATGCATGATGAGGGATGTCCTGTATATATGCTTCTCTTATTGGTTGATGAATAAAACAGTGTGGCCAATAAAGGCAGGAAGATAGGCTGGACTAGGAGATGAGGAGAATTCCGGCAGAGGGAGACCGTGGAGAGACACCATGAAACCAAGGAAGTAGTAACAGATCTGGGCACTTTTCTGGTAAGATAAGACCACATGGAAATACTTAGATTAATAGAAATGGGTTAATAATTACGACAGAGCTAGTAAATAAGAAGCCCTGGCCACCGGCCAACAATTTTATAATTGTGTGTGCTTATTTGGGGTGAATCAGCAGTGGGATCAGCTGGAACGAACCTCTGCAACAAAATGGCAAACACTGTTGGGTAAGATTTTCCAAGTAAAACTTGACAAAACTTAAAAGGAAATCTTGAAACAAAAGAAAAGAGACAAACACGGTTTCTTGGTAGCAGCATTTTCTTGAGTGGGAGCATGCATATACACACACACATACACAAAATAAAGATTTTTTTAAAGGGGGATTAGAATCCAGGTGTTGGTGTCACACGCCTTTAATCCCAGCATTCAGGAGGCAGAGGCAAGCACATCTCTGTGATTTCAAGGCCAGCCTTTGTCTACAGGGTGAATTCCAGCACAGGCAAAAGTACACAGAGAAACCCTGTCTGGAGGAACAAATAAATAAAGATAAAAGAAATAGAGTAAAAAAAAAAACATAAAGATGGAAAATACACAGAGAGTCTGGTACTGTATGTTATCGTGTTGTTTTTAAATTGTTTGATTTCTGAGGAAAGAGCAAAAGCTGCTCACAGACATTTGATTATAATGCTGCTGGATTAATCCAACTTATATATTTTTAAAATGCTTTGACTTCAAATTTTAAGTCTAAGAATATGTTACTTTGGAAAAGAGATTCTGGTTTTTTTTTCCACAGAAGATGAAAAGCTGTGGATTCCTTCAAGACTAATATGGTTTGATAGGTTTGATCAAGCAAGATCCCCTGAAGCAGTGGCCCAGATGATCCAACATCCAAAACAGCTGAATTGATGCAGCCTCAGAATACTATAGCCAGGATTTGTCCAGGTTTCTGGGTTTTCTCAGGATCCCCATGGTGCCCCCAAACAGCAAGAAGCAGTTTGGAGAGAACAACGCC